TGTGAGAGTGAGAGAATTCAATCATCAGTCCCGTCGCTCACTCTATCCCAGAGGGGAGAGGCAACAGTTGGAAACATGAATTATAAAATCATAAGCGGTTGTAAAATGGAGATAAATCTTGGTGATTACACATCGAACAATTCGATTTCTCTGCCAATGATTCTTTATTGTAGTTGTGTGAAGGACAGCAGACCTTACAATTCTCCATTTATGATGCACGTCATTTTGCATTCTAAATGGGGAAGCATTGTAATGTTAACAGTTATTCTGAATGTGATTTGAGGAGGCAATTCCATCCTGCATTTCACTGAGGATGTTTTGTTAAGGCTCCTCTTTCTTCGAATTCGAGAAGAGAAGAATTCGACCACATCAAACCGTGTTTGTCTTCCTCTCTCGTCCCCCGGGGCGCCAGCACTGTGGAAAGCCCAAGAGATAAAGAGGGGAAAGACATAAAAGCACATAAACATCACACACCAAGGAGAAAGGAGAGGGGGGGGGGGGGGGGTGCGTGAATGTGTGTGCAGGTTCAGACTTATCAATGTTAATGCAGATTGCTTTGTGTGTTTAGTTTAGTGCATTTTCCCACTGCAGCAGTGACTTTATTTTTTTTGTCGCTTTCCGTGCACACGTCCACTTACAGGTACATGCATACACACATGCACGGACACATAATAAGCAATTCAACCTCTGCTCCAATGAAAATGACCTGCAGCCTGGTTAGGTGAACAGGAAGTAACAGTGTGTACCTGTAGTCTTCCACCAGCTGCCTCTCAACAGACCACAGCATTGTTTGAAGCAACCAATTACCCAGTAATAGCTGCTCTTTTTGCCCTTTTTCGAATAGCATTGTTGCCTGGTGCAGTTTTCCTGTCTGTGTGAAAGACCAAGGAAGGAGGGCGTTGCAAACATGCCTGTAAATAGTGTTTTTTTTATATATTTGTTTAATAATCATGGATTATTATTCATCATGGAGATGGAGCAGCCAGAACCTCTAACCAGATGTTTCTTGCATGTCAAGTCTAATGAAACTAGTGACCTTCTGCCATTTCTGTCTCTGAAAATACGTCCTAATTGCTTTTAGCTGGGTAATGCCATGTGGGGCCTGAAGGACGGGACAAAGTTCTGTGATGCGGACAGGTGTCCTGACCTTCTGTCTGCACTCCCACGCCTCCCAGGACCTTTGCCAAATAGAGGCCACGGTTTCGCCCTAGCCCATCATCTAGAGTAGGTTTCCCACACTGAAGAGGAATGCATTGGTGCGTTTCAGTACACCGTGGGTGTGGCCCGGCTAACCGTAGAATCTGATTGGATATGTAAGTTTGCTATTTGCCAAATTCAGTCATCCGCTAACATGATCCGTGTTGCCGCTTGTGTATTCCATTTGGTTGAACGGTCTGAATAGATGCAGAACATTATTCCACATGTGAGATGTTTGTATAGTGATTTTTAGTCACTGTTGTTGTCGGTCCAGAATGCTCTTTTACTCGCGAAAAGATGCTGACTGCAGGTCAGTTGTTCGTTGTGACATTGATAACACGGATTTACAACAAAAATCCACATAGCAGCTTCAACTAAGAATAAATCATAATTACTCCGTGTTCCTAATCTCCCTTCACTGACAAATCAAAGGATCATCCACATCCTACAAATAGATTTAAAATGGCACCCTTCCAATACCTACTGGCCATGCCAAGATTGAATTATTCAAATACGGAGATGAAAGTCCAATCGGATCAACCAAAATAACATCTTCTGTAGTAATCTGTTTGTAGATTTGATTCCTTTGATGATATTTGTGGCTTTTCAGCAAGGCAGGATAGCCGTAAAAGGTACGTAGGGTTTGCATGGCAGTGACATGGCAGAGCTTCATCTCTGACAGAATGGTGCAGAATGACCATGGGAGCAGATAAAAAGTAAAACATGAAGTAAAACCACAAACTTTTTGATTTGTACATTATCCAGAAAGCAAATAAACAAATTTGACAGCTCTAACCATTAGCGTCTAACCATATTGCTTTCATGAATCCATAAACAGTTTTACTGCTGTATCAAAATCTCAATGCAACAAAAAGTATGTCCATTACTGGCCCACTGCTGGGGAGATCCCTCATCTTTGAAGGTTGTCTAACTAAAGAACCAGGATAATTTCCAGGCAATGAATGTCATCTTTTTTTTGCATTCTGGCACTTGTAATTACATGCAAATTTTAAAACGTGTTGCAGGAACGAGATCGTCGTGCTAATGTAGAGTAAACACTACCTCAAAACCGAGAGAAATGCATGTTGATTTCTTTTATGTCTTTTTATTATATGACTTTTTTGATTCATTATTACAAAAAAAATGAAAATTTGAAATATTTTTTACAGTGTCAAATTAAGTAATCAAACCATAGTGAAATATGCTAGAAAAGTTGGAATATTTCATCATATTAGTGTCTTTGCAAAATTGCTTGAATTCTATTATGTTGGTGCTTCTTACATCCCCACTTGGGAAAGCCTGTTTGCTCCGTGGTGCAGTTATTCAAATGAAACTCTTGACCTTGAGAGTTCAACACAGCACACTGAAGACTTCGGATCAATGTCAAAAATGATGACACTTTGATAACTTTGCACGCAACGAATGCATGAATCGATATGCGGTGGACCTCTCTGTGTGACCGTATAGCCGGCGCCTTCTGGGTCGAGCAGGTTTCTAGGCAAATGTGCTACATTTCGTCAATCTCGGGTACGCGGTCTTCTCTGTACTTGTGCAGATAATCGCCCACTTGTGTGATTGTATGTGAGCGGGCATCGTGTTTTTGTGTTTGCACTAATTTGTAACTCACAATGTGCATTTGTCCCAGTGTGGATGTGTATGCGCGCCTCAGTCTGTGTGCTGCTGTCTGTATGCTGAACATTTGCCTGCTCGTAACACTAAGCACATCTCCTCAATGTGATAATTGGCTCCCCGGGGAGCTTGTGTCTTTGCTCCTCATCATCGTCATCCCCTCCAGGAAAAGACAAGGCTGTGTTAGATGATACAGCGGAAGTTTGCTCGTTTGTCGGGAAAACTGATCCCTAGTCTGCCTCGACTCCTTTGGCACAGAAAAAGAAACTTTGAGGGACTGAGACAGTGAGGCAGATCGGGTGAAACCTGGCTGCAGGCTGCGTTCAGGCGTCGTGTCAGACCAAATGCCGTGGAGCAAATTAACTATTTGAGGCAGGTGATGCACAATGGAAAAATTAGCTTCAATTGGTGCAATGTCACTGAACGCAATTGCGAGATTGTATTATTTATCTTCAGGGGAGCAGAATAAATCTCAAAGGGAGCTATGTGTGTTAAACCAGACATGTAGGTCTATTAGTTAGAAGAAGTTAAACCGTTGTTCGGGCTCGCCATGGTCCTGACCTTAGTGGTTTGCATTGCTGGCACCTGAGCTTTCTAGAAGGCAGACCTGTTTGTGCGCCTAGAGGGATATAGAGACAATCTTCTGGTCTCCTACACCCTCTCATCCATATGTTCTTGCAGTCTCCAGGGTATTGGGGACCGCAAAGCAGATTGTTGGCCACTTTATAGGGGAAACAGTGAGACAGCTGGGCACCCATCACAAGGCCAAACAGATGTTCAGGTGACTTGGAGAGGAAATTAACGGAAAACAAAGGAAGGGCAGGGGGGCGACCAAAGGAGAGAGGTGGCGTAGAAGAAGGGTATGCAGAAAATAACTATACATTGATCCATCGGCTTAGAGGCTTCATTAGCAAATAGGTGGGCCAAATGCGTCCCACTGTCCTTAGGCCACACACGTCTGTTTCGTCTCCCGTATTGATTCACCCACTAGTCTGTCTGCTGTAGGTCCAATGCCTTTGATCTCTTGATTATCTTTGCCTACACGTGGACAGGACGGCTAAGCCGCTCAAGGATTCAGCGCTTTAATTCTGACACACCTTAGGGAATGTTCAGAACTTCAGAATTTTATTCAACCCTGAAACCACATAATGAAACTTTTCCCTTTTTTCTGGTCTATGTGACAACAGAAAAAGGGGAATCTGCAAACAACTTTTTAAAATTCGGTTTCTCAGGGCCAAGCTTGATCCGATTACAGACACAAATCTGCATAGTGGCTGATATAATGACAAAAGCGGCGCTACCCTCACTGGTACAGAAGCTCCTTTTTTATACACTGGATTTGTCAAATTAAACTAGACAAAGATTCTTTGATTTTCGCCCCATCTCTTCTTTCTTGCACCCGCCTTTGTTCTTTGGTTGCAGGTCTCATATATTATACATGAGGATTGGGAGACTTACCATACTCGCTGTTATTCCCTAGAAACACGCTACAGTTAAGAAATGGGTCGGTCATAGATGGCGCCTAGGGAGCTTCTGACTGAATACCATTAAATCAACAGGACACAGTTATATTGTTGCAGTTTTGCACATTAAACAATTTCACTGTAAATTAACGGTAACTTACTGGCCGCAGATCAGTAAATTGCAAACCCTTTATTCACGGCAGGGGTGCCCAATCGCGATTGACCGGTAGATCACCAAGGCAGTACACCTGCCATTGACCACGTCAACGGTAGCTAACGGAAAACTGTAGTGCTAATTAGCAAACCTTAATTACCAACTGTACTTACTAACAAACACATTTTTCATTCAAAAGCAACCTTTGCTGACTCAATTCAGTGCAGTGTAATGACCAAATACAAATACAATACTTTTGCATGTAATTCTCCACGAATAAAAGAAAGACAAGAAAACTGATTTAATATACTTTTGCAGTTTATTAAATGTTTTCAAGAAACCGGCCAAAGTGAACTCATAAGGCCCGTCAGATACTTAATTGTAAAATCATGTAGTAACCATGTGTATGTGTGTGTTCATTCTATAAATACTTCATACATAAATACCAGCTAAGTACGTCACTACGCATCACCAGGACACGCTTACTAGACGCACACATGTAAGATATTGACAGTGTCTCTAAATCCTCCCGTTTTTTGCTTCTTGTGTTTCCACAGCCGGCACCACCTATATCTTTGGCAAAGGAGGGGGTCTGATCACCTACACGTGGCCCAATAATGAGAGGCCAAGCACACGGACGGACCGGCTGGCAGTGGGCTTCAGCACCACCATCAAAGACGGCATCCTCGTGCGCATCGACAGCGCCCCTCGTCTGGGTGACTACATCATGCTCCACATCGTAAGTACTTTTATATTAATACGCAGGCACCTGTATGGACATTGGCATTTATCGGTCCAAAAGCGGCCGGACTTCGGTGCTTGAAAGACACCATGGTCTCTGACTCAGCTGACCGCCTTCGTTGTTCGTGTTTATAAGGTGAGGTGGGAATGAAATGATCAGAAACAATCTCAAATGTGTTTCAAGCGAATTAAACCTTTCAACACAACCAAACATACCAGTCAGTCATCTTCTACACCTCCAGCATCTTCAGCATATACAGTATCTTAGTCAATCCCAGCCAGCATCGGGCGGGAGACGGGGTTCAAACTAGGCTGGTTGCCATGTGATTGTGGAAACAAACAACCATTCGGTCTCACATTCAAACACGTACGGGAAAACTAGAGTCACCTGTGGAGTTTGTCTCCAGGGAAGAAGAACTCCACACAGAAAGGCCGCTTGGTGGTTTCAAACTCAGAACCTTCTCACTGTGAGGCAACGGTGCAAATTATACTTCATCCTCGTTGGCAGGAGAGACCAGTGAGGAGTCGCAGAGAAAGAGACAGTGCTTTTATACCGAGCAGAAGCTCGAATTAGTTTTTTTTTGAACACCTGAAAAAACACAGATGTTTTATGATGATTTTAGCCTTGTGTATTCTCCAACTGACATGGTTTTAAAGCTGGTTGTATCACATTTTTGCTCTCCAAACTTCTTTAATGCACTTCTTTATACACAAACACACACAAACGCAGGTTGGGCTTTTGGACATCACCAACACACAGATCGTATGTTCGCCCGTTTCTCTTTTGTAAATGCTAATTATGAACTTTTTGTTTCTATTTTTGCTCTGATGAATTCACATCAGCTTGTTTCTTGGTCCATAAGCATAGTCATAGGTTTCAAGCATTACAACTACATTCATAGCTGGCCGGGACCATAAAGCGAATCTGAGAATCGTTACCTGAGGTTTACATACAAGAGTCTCCACAATAATTTTAGCCCATCATGCTAGAACTGAATTATGCAAACAGTGCTGATAAATCAGATTACTTACTCCGCCGCTCTGGTCTCTGCTGACCATCTCTTTCCAGAAAAACCACATCCAAGCTGACTCTTAGCATGAATAATGAATGCAGCTCTCCATACATGTGCCGGGTGTTACACACATTGTGCAAACATGATAGAGAACGGGGGGTTGCGAGTTGGAATTCTTGGCCAATCGTAAGTGCATCTTCATACCCTCACTTCACAAACTTGTGTTTGACTCGTTTACATAAGCATTACGTATTTAGATAGAGATGGATTTCTTTTATACTGTACATTTAAATTGAAGACATCGCTTTTCCTGCACTGTGTTATTTGTCTTGTTGTCCATTGTCTCATTGTCTTATTGTCCAATGTTATGCATCAACCGCCATGTCCAATTCCAATGTATGTCAAACATACTTTGGCAGTAAATGTTCCTCATTGCTGATTCCTTGTAATCATATAAAGTAGCTAAATGAAGCCGGAGTCAAATAAGTGTGAGGGGGGGAGTGTAGAGTCAGCGGTGTGGGGGGTCGCTGCTAACGCTATTAGAAATAAAAGATGTGAAGAGGAGCATCAGTTGGTGAAGCAGATTGAAAGTCTTTTCCTTCTTAAAGAGCTTCCCTCATCCCCCGAGTGCTCGCCATGTGGTGCAGAAAAGCAGCCATCTGCTCTGCGGAGATGAGAAGCCAAGCACTTTTGAGCTGCCCTTATAGTATTAAGAGATAAAGCGATAGGTGAGGGAGGATGTTGAGGGTAAAGAGAAGATGATGAAGATGTACAGTGTGGGAAACGCCTTCCTGGGTCCCTAACGGACTGAGTAATTGCAGGAACCCTGGAGGACAGGAAAATTATTACATTTTTAATTCAAGCTTTTAAGATCTCACAGCATGGCTAACCAAGCAGGGTATCTCCTATGATTTGGCTGCGTGTCGTTGGCCGGTGAATATCTTAATTCCTCCAGTCTCATGGCGCTATTGAATTTATTGATAGAAGGAAAGCGACTGCAGAACTCGCTAATTCCTTCAGAGAAGCAGTATGTTTTGAACATGTGCCGCATTAACATTGCACTGCCAATATTTCGTTGGCAGCAAAAGGCTGAACTAACCAGGTTTAATTTGATATTATCAGTGATTGTACCCTTGAACTATATATCAATTAGCAAAAAGCTCGACACCTCTTGCTCCATTTTCCCTAAAATGACAGTGACAGTGACCAGATACAGAAAGAACAGTGCACAAGGTGAACAGTAAAACATGAATTGGACCTTGTGGGAATATTTAGCTTTTAGCAAATAAGCTGCTGCTTTACCTCTCTTGTTATCTCACCGTGTATTAGACCATATCTCTTCGGTGCTCTAGTTGGGGGAATATTGACTCTCTCAATAGGTTACCCCAAAACGGGTATTGCAATCTCAGATAAAACAACTTAGCTGTCTCTACAAGATGTATGTGCGGTAGACATTTCAGACTTCCCTGAAATGTCATTAGACAATAACTCCTAATGACAGACGTCAGCATTTTACATTTCCTAATGAATCAGTAAGAAGAGGTTATACCTGATTATCCCTGTTGATTCCTCATATGTGTCTAACCGAAGGGCTAATCAGGCCCTGGGCCATTACCTAAGCCTTTGTAATTATCAGCTCACTACTTAAACCTGTATTTAAGTCTAAGTGCAATGGGCACACTATAACATATTGAGCAGAGGAGGACACTGACTGTCTGACAAGCAGCCTACAAAGCACTTTACCATGTTTTTCTTATTAGGCTTTTCTTTTCGTTTCGTGTATTAGGTTTTTCTTTCCTGAAAGGGAACCCTAAATGGTCCTTCGTTATCTTTTTTTCCCCCACTGGAAGGGAGAAAACAGGACGAATGGCACAGTCAAGACAACAAAATGTAGCTGTATCTTAAAACACCTGCAATATTATACTCATTTTATTTGCATGCAGGCCTTTTTTTAAACTATTAGATTATGCATAACTTTAAGTGACCTTGTGTTTGAGATACCTTATGCCTGCACTTTCTGTCTGACAGCAAAAATGCTGAATATTGCATTTTCTTAAATTCCCAGAGCTCAAAGAAGCACAGACATCCTAAGACAAGAGCCTAATCACTGACTCCCTCCTTAGTCACCCTCCCTGATTTCCTCGATTAGCTTACGGCTTTTTTGACAATCGTGAATTTAACCTCTCACTGTACTTCCACAAGCATTGTAATGCTTGTGGAAGTTAAATAATAGCAATGGTAAAATGTTGGGCTCACCGCTCTAAATTACCCCAAATTACCCCTCAGATTTCATACCAAGCATACAGTTGTTCTCAGCAGTTGAAATGTAAACGCTACAATCAGCATTTAAATTCACGTAAACAGAAGCTTATGGATTCATCAGACATGTGTATTAGCCTGTATGAGTCCTGCACTTGTTGCCCTAGTCTACTACCTACAGTGAGAGGTTGAATTCAGACTAACCTCCATATTCAGAGTCAGAGAGAGACCGAGGAGGCCGTCATGCCAACACACAGTGTTGTTTAAAGGCTAGAGTAGAGCGGCATGTGGCGACATGAAGCCGACTTCATTACTAATCCAGTGAACGCAGAGAGACTCGGACACAAGTTTCATGTGGCAGCTCCTTTGGTTTCCAGTTAAGGCGGAAAATCACTGTAATGAACCCGACAAGATAAAGACCCTGTGCGTATTGCTACGCATGTTGTGTTGTTGCTAACAAATACAAAGTGAGGATGGAAGCTTATGATAATGAACGATTAATCTCCTAAAAACTGAGCTGCTTTTGATTGAACCGTTTGTGTGCTTGAACCTTTCCCGTTTAACAGAGATTAGCTATTTAATATGAATTTGTAGTTTTGTTGAAATATTTAAGTCTCACTCCAAAATCCAATTAGCTGTTATGTTTTCCTGGTTTGAGTTTCTGGCGGTGGTGGTAAAAGTCTTCATAAAACCAAACACACGTGCCTCTTTTCCGTCTGATCCCACCGGGCTCGTGGTAAACACGTGCAGTGATGCTTCCGTCTCAATCCCTGCCGATTTGACAAAAACGATCCGGCTCATACGTGGGAATGAGGTGATCTCCATTAGCACTTCCGCTTCGCCTCCGTGCTCATTCACAGGCAGAGAAGGCGTCGCTGCTGGGTGATTAAAAACCGGAGTGCAGACACTCGGACACAAGGTGTGACCATGAAACCCGCGCTGTATCCGTTTCATATGTCGGATGCACACATACGCCAGTGCATGTATGTTCCCGTCCCTCCACACCCATCCATCAGCTTCTCACGCCTGACATTGTCTTTCTCCGCATCTACTTCCCCCTCCTCCCTTTTATCTCCCTCACCCTGTGGCAGAGATGTTGGTTGTGTACCTGTGTGTATCAGCGCCTGTATTGCCTCTATCGAGTTACCAGTGCTCGGCAGGGAAAGACAGATAATATCACAGTTATGGTGTATGGCCTCTGATAACAACACACCTTCTTATTTGAGTTAGTATTTTCCTCACCTCCCACATTTAATTCCGCCCACGGAAATAAACAGCTTGGAAAATATAACTTGCATCTATTTTCACAACTACTGTAGTTGGGCGTCATAAGTGACTTTAACTTTTTCTCTGAAGCTGAGAGTCATTTGTATCTGTACTGACTTGTTACTTTTAGATTTTTAGATGTTTTACCTTACAGCTGTTATTTAAAGTAATGCACAAGCACAGGTTGCAGTTTATAAAGTCAATATATAAGCCAGATTATTGGCAGTATACCCTTCTGGGTCTACAGTATATCTGTAGCTTTGTGCATTTTCACAGCAGTTTATTTTTTTTACATGTCACAGCAGAAAAATGTACAAATTTATACATGTATAAATAATCAAATGAATCAAGGCTAAATTGCCTGAAGCTGGTTTGGTTGGAGGGACCCGTGTAGTTTGTGTTGTCTCACTCATTGTCTCACTGTGAGCATTGTCTCACTCCAACACACCAGACACATTGG